ATCTGGGTCAAAGTATGAGTTATGGGCTGCTCCACAATCGTAAGCCGCTTAAAGAGTTCGGTAAACATAATGGTGGAAATAAAATGAAATCTCTCGTCTGGCGAGGTCCTATTCCATTCGTAACCTTGGTCAAGTCCATCCGTTCTTCTAGGCTGGCCACACGCACACATAAATAATTAAAATGACCTCATAATGTTTCGATTTTCTCGCTTTTTCTGGCTCCTTTCATTGTTTCCCTGTTTTTGTCTACTGGGTGGACTTTTTGGCGCTTTTTCGACTTTTTGCCGCAGTCATTAATGTAATGGTCTGCATTATTTGCGAACATTCAGAGTGCTAGTGGCCATCTCTGTCATTCTATTTATTTGTCGACCTTAGGCCTAGACACTAAATATATGTGAATGACACGCAACGCACTAGGATACCCTTTAAAACAAGGAGAGTTTGAAGATCATATACAGTCAATACAGTCAAGCCTTTTCAATACATGTTCATTAGGGTGGACTTATTTTGTATGAAATTTCTAAGGCCATGCTCTCACCCCTTCATATATAGCCTTTTTGTATCCTTAATCCATTAAAGAAAGAAAAAGTAAAAAATAATTAGTTTTAGGCGGTGCGCAACGGCTTTAAAGTTTATTACGCTGATTTCAGATTCATCTAGATGCCGTAGACTTAATTTTATACTTTGACAGTATTTTAAAAAGTATCTTAATCACTTTCCCGAGCTTTTTAACAAGGGATGAAGTCGTTGATAAAATTCGAGTCCCTGGGAGACAATTACAACTTAAAAATAACAATAATAACGAATAATCAAGGACTTTTAGAGTACAACTTATAAATATTACGGTCTCTGAAAAATAAGAGTCAATATCGTTGTATCCTAAGCCAGCATTTCTTTGAGGAAAATTTTTATTGGCGAACGCAAAAGTGATAGTTAATCTTTAAAATTGTAAAAAATAGAATCTCTATTTCATTGTGAGTCACAAAAAAAAAATGGTAAGTCGGGGATCGAACTCGATCCTTTTTGTTCGGAGACAGAAGCTCTACTGGCTAGGCTACGTCCAACTGTTAATATTAATGAAATACATTTCTACTTGACTCTTTTATTCGAGCGAAACCAAAAAGTTGACATGTTAAAATCTGACAAGAAATGGAATGGGGTAAATTCCTACTTTTACACTTAATTTTTAGCGAAACTTTAGGGCCATTGCGCACCGCCTAAACGATGAAATAAAATTTTTCTGTTTTTGCATAAATTTATTGGACACAGAAACCTACCATTTAAGATGCTGAGCTCAGTTGACCTTAAAGAAGTCCACCCTAATGTTCATATATAACATATAACATATATATAACATATATACATATATAACAACACTAAATTTGATGGTTTTTGTTTGATCTATCAGAAAGATTGTTTTTGTATGGGAATTCCGATATTAAAGCCTATTTTAGCTTTAACATGCGGGCGAAATAAAAATCATAAATAATATTAAAAAACGAGTATTGAGTATCGAGACGAACGCAAATTCACTTAAGGAAGTTGGACTGTACATTTTATTTTCGTCCCTGCCACTCCATTATATATGTAAGTATGTACTTGTAGGTTCCTTTTAGCATTTTATTGCTGGTCACTTTTATATTCGTCCTGCTACTGTTCAGCCTTCAATACGGAGCCTCCTTTTTTTCAAGCTCTTTTCTCTTTTTGTTTTTTTAGCCAGCGCTTTTCTCAGCAATTTTTCCGCTCGGCATTTGCTGGTCAGTCATTCATGACGTGGCCACCATTGCTTCGGCCTAATCCTCCACTGCCGTTTTGCCTGCCAAATCGGCTGTGCCATCAAATTAAACGACAACTAAATTGGCGCACATTTTGCGCTATTTGGCAGGCTTTTGTCTGCTTTTCAGGGTTTACATAAGCGGACAAAAAAACCAGCCAACAAGAGGGCAAATAAAATGCTAGCAATGACAACAGCTGACATTGATTGGGCCACCGAAGGCCGGCAGGGGGACGGAAGGCGGGTCTAATAACTGTAATAATAATAAGTAGCTGATAATTTGACACTAAGCCACGGGGTTGCATGCGTAATGCGATAGAACATAACCGGAAATGGTTTCGCCGAACAATCAATTGGATATAAAGGTGAACAGTTGGCAAAAATTGTACCTAACCGCTGGGCATAAGATAACATATTAAACAGGTTTAAAAAAATCAATTCGTATTTTAATCAACTTAATATAGGTATATCTTTTTTCTCTAATTTGGTTCTAGGTCTGACTTTCAACTTATTAGCCTTTCGATGGTCCCTGTTTCCCACTTCCATAAGGATTCAGTGGGTAATTGCATCAAAATCAAATCAAATCGACCCTAATTCCATTCCGCTTCTGTGCAGCCATTCATTGGAGTCTTGCCACGCCAAAGAGGTTAAAGCAACCACTTTCCGGGCGCGAATCTCTCGACTCTCTCACACCAATTCACCCGACACTTTCGCTTCTTTCACCTCGGAAAATGTCGAGTGCAATTTCCCGACTGACTTAATTAGTTGCTGTCACATTTTCTGGCAGCCTGTTCGGCAAGACGAAAGACCGAAAAGCCCGCAACCCACGAACACTTGCAGCTCCCTTGGCGCACATGGAAAACTTTCAGAATAGATTAAATTTGTTCTGGCTGCGGTGCCGTGGGGCGGGGATTCACCGCAGCTTCCAGCTCCAAAAGAAAACGCCGAATTGCAAGAAATGGCTAAATTGAGTGCACACAAAGGGCGGGAAAGCGGGCAGCCAGCAGCAGATAGTTGTTGCACAAGTGCAGTTTTCCTGCTGCTGCGGCTGTCCAAACATAAAAAGGATAACACATGCAGCCGCCACAGCAGGGCCAATAAGTTGGCAGATAGTCCGCCAACAGGATGAGCCGTTTTTCCGAAGCCCCACAGCTTTACGGCTAGTGCTCAGTGTTGCCCAGAAGTGATTGAAAAGGCTTAAATAAAGACTATTTTCTAATATATGAAATAATTAAACTCAAAATTCTCAATTTGATTTGTTAGACAGAAAATTATAGAATGGTTAAAATATTTTTTTTAAATCTAAATGAAATTGAAAGGTAAATTTACAACTCAGTAAATAGTGTAGTTTAAAATGAATCAAATTCTTACATGAATATTACTTTTGAAATCCATTTATTAAGAAAGGCAATTAGGATTTTATCGTCTAGCGACAATTTAAAATTTAAATAAATGTTAAACGTGCTCAGAACGCGTTCAGAATTTTAAAAATACGAATTACGGATTAATAGAGGCTACAAAATTATAATAAATAGAATATAAAAATCCGCTAGATAAGAGCTTTCAATTAAATTAAATTTTTAGATATGTCAGAAACATTTCTGTTAAGCATTTCCAACAACATATATAACCACTAGCTTTGACTATAAATTAGCCATGTTGTCAGCTTTGGTCGTGATGTTCGTCCAGTTATGACAACAAAAGGATGGGCCAACGCGAGGGCAGAAAGCGTACAGCGAGCGGCAGCAGAATAGAGCCTCCATTGTGAACAACCGAGCTGGGGAAAGGCCAAACTAGCTGGGGCTGCCTTCGGCCATTCAATTGTCCGCCTGATCCCAGAAAAAGAGAAGCCAGTTAGCCCCAGAATATCCTCTTATTTGCCTGCTGGCCTTTTCTTTCTCTTTGCTGTTGATTTTCCATTTGGCCAGGACACCGCCTACGCTTTTCCCCAGGCTCAATGTTTAATGTTTTTGGCTTTCAGTTACCTGTTCCTGTATGTAGGTCAGAAATTTACAATCAGTTACAAATACCTAGCATGCCCTTGTGGAATACAGTTTCTAGAGATATTACGAATAAGTCAGCATAAGCATGGAACATTTTTGCCATACAAAACAAATAAGCGGTGTCAACTAGAAATGAAATATATTTCTTAAAAAATTTCCATGAACTAAAAATGTTTTCATTTCCTTACCCGTTTTTACTTTAGCCAATTTCCACACGGTTTTCTGAATAACAAACCCAATTGCACAAGCGTTTAACAAAAAAAAGAATAGCTGTCATTTCAGGCCACTATAAACAAGAATTTATGCATTCGTTAAGAAAAAAGTGAAATTGGAACATGGTAAAAAATGGGAAATTAAGATAGCCATGAAGCAGTGTATCGGAGTGGGGTAAATAAATCTCCATTGACGGTTAAGAGTCCAAAAAAGTTAATATAGGAAGACCCCGATAGTACATCTAATTTAAAATCATTGAAGGCAATTTATCTTCCATTTATAATGCACTGAATGATTCTATTCAATACAAAATTAAAGACAAACATTGCAGCGTCATTTCACCTGCGTGCATGATTATGTGACCCCTCAGTTCCCTCGATGCAGTTTAGCCAGGAAATTCAATTTGGCGCAGCGCGGTTTTTCCGAAATGAAGAGAAATTGGCTCGAAAGCTTTTTCGATTTGCTGGGAACATCGATTGACTGCCGATGGCAAAAATTTGATGCAAAAAAAATAGGAGTTTAAGCTGCAGATTGCAACACATCTGATATGGAAATTGTTGAACAATTTCCAAAGAAAATAAACATAAAGAAATTAAGTTATATATTTTCGCATTGTAATAATTTAACACATTTTTTCAAAAGTTTATTGTGATCTGCAATTTCGATAAAAATAGCCAACTAACTAACCACTAAAAGATTAGTGATTTAATTATATTTATATCTTAATTTAGCTCGTAGCATCGGAGGAAAAAAAAAACTATTAAATAAAATATAACTAATGCATTCCTTTTTAATTTGCTTACATCAAGTCATCGAAGAGAGAGGCGAGAATAATATATGTTTAAGCATTAAATAAAGCTAGTGGCCACGTGGCGTATGTGTAACATTTACTGCACTCGCGGCTGACGTAAATTGCCGTAATTACAGCCCGGCCCCGAAATGAAATAATATGCCCACCACCTCCTGACCACAAAGGACACACTCCTTGCGGCCGAATGGCAGTGACTTACCTAATTAGCGACAGGATTTCCAGTAGTACTAGTAATGGTAGTGGTAGATGTAGTTGTAGTTGTTTGGGGCTGTTCAGCTAGCTAGCGCCACCAAGCGGGCGACAGACGGACTAGCCGACAACGTTCATTTGGCCCTTTGGGCTATTGTTGTGGCGTTGTTAGCTGTTGTGGTTGTTGCTACAGCTGTTGTTGTTGTTGGCCAACAATCTGGCAACGCCTTTCAGCCCGCTTACAATGTTATGTTGTTTGTTGTTTTTTTAACTTTTTTTGTTACGTTTTTTTGCTGTCGTTGTTGTTACTTTGCTTGTTGCAACTTATGTGCAATTGCCGCTGGCAGAGGGCTGTGGGAGTGAGCGAGAGGGACGAAGATTTGAGGGGGTGAGTGAGCGAGAAGGGGCGAAAGTTGCAAGGACACGCATCGCATCGCCTGACGAACGACACACACAGGATTTCGCACTCACACTCGCGAACACCCGACAACGTACGACACTTTGAAATGTATATTTCTTTTTTTTCCGTTGTTTTTCTTTTGATTTTGCACTGGTGTTGGAGCGTTAGGTCCTTTGAAACCACCACCAACCCTCAAACAACAACAAATACCCCCAGTTTTATTTCATTTCTTATTTTATTTCGCCTTATTCTGGCCAGAACTTTTGACGCTTTATGTTTGGCCATGTGATTTGCTTTATTTCTCTCCCTTTTTTATGTTTCTCCCGCTTTGTTTTGTTCCCACATTCGCACTCGCCTTTTACGATTGTTTTGTTTACTTTGAAGTCTTAACTGCCCTGCGATGTATGCTAAAGTTTTCTGTTCTCTGATTTTTTTCTACCTACACTCAGTTGCTCATTTGGCGCCACTTTTTGGCCAGAAAAACTTTTTGTATTTTCTTTTGAGTAAGTGATGGCCGAGCTGCTTACGTAAGTGGCAGCAATTTGCCAAGCAGTTAGTTGGCGGAGAAAGCGGGAAAAGCTTGAAAACACTTGCCTTGAGGTGGAAACTTATGGAAAGTGATGTAAAGCTGGGACCCTGATAAAAGTCTTTGGGAGCTGCCGGCAACGTCTTGGGGAAATTTATAATGGGATCTGGTAGAGTTGAAGAGGTCGAAAGCAGCTAAAGTTCTTTTTAAGTTAAACTCTGGGAAAAAGAGAAAGTTCGGAGATCCGTGCTTTCCAAGATTTCAAGATGTGATCTGGAACTTTTTAAAATATGGCTTATTATTGCGGCGTTGGCATAAAACTAAAAGTTGCAAATATACATTTTGAAAAACGTTAAATTGACAATAAGAAAATACTATGTACAAATTATTACCATAAGCAAAGTAGGAAAAGCGTTTAAAACAATCTATTAATGTGCCTAAAAACGAATTTGAAAAGTGAGAAGTCGGCCGAGACGGATTTTTAATAAATGAGTGTAACTAACCAAAATCTAGATTTGACAAATGCAACTTTAAAATTAAAAGTAAAATCTCTGGAAACAAAATTACGCCAACAAAGCCAGATAAACTACGTAAATTTGTTTCGAAAAAAGGTTCCTAGCCAATAATTGCCTCGAATTCCCCGTCCCAAAATATTATTCTATTATTTATTTTGTTTCTACTCAACCACCTTAATGTATCCATACACCCTTCGTTTGTACACTCGCTTTTTCCCAGCGATTCATTAATAAATAATTCCTTGCACTTCCTATACTGGCATATATTTACATGCCTCTTTGTATGTGAATATGTGTGAACGGCAAAGGCTGTAAAAATCGTGTTTGTCTTCTGCCTCAATGAACTATTTTTATTTATTTATGCACTAGGTTATTGCCAGGCGTATTCGCGTGAAAATGGTGCGCTTAAATAAAATGAAATTAAACAAAAATAACCCGTTTGGCTGTGAATACAATTCGCATTGAATCTCTAAGTAATTACGACAAAACGTTTGCCGCACTGAAACTATTTTTACGCTTCAACGCGTTTATGGTGCAGTTTTTGGAAATTTATTATCGGTATGGCCATAAGGAAGGTCGCCATAAGGAAGAGATCATAAATTATCGTCTGCCTTAGCCTTATCATCCATTAAATTTGCAGCATCCGATGCAGACAATGTAATGTAATGAAGAGGGGAGAATTTTTCACACGCTCTGAGGCGAGATGTTAAAAATAAACCAAAGCCAGTACAAAGTGAAATGCAAAAATGCGAAGCATCAGACCAAAGCAAAACCGAGCAAAAATACCATGTGTTAATGTGATGGTTCGGCGTTTAACAAGCCAAAAAACAAGGAACACTAAATCTAATTTAATTGTGTTTTTTGTAAAAACAAATTCGCCCGCTAGTCGGAACACAAATGCTGAGTGTATTTTGGTGTCTTTCATCTCATTACTGCGAGGGTGGCGGTCAGACAAATGCCTCTGTTTCAATGTCTGTCCTTAACACGGCATTGGAATGCCCGGCATTCGTTGAAAACGACATTTTTGTCTAGGAGCCAAACACGCCCCGAAATATGCAACATGTCTTCCTGGCCCCGCCATCTCGTACCGCCCCTTATCCCATATCCACTTTTCTTCGGTGGAGGCTCCACCCAAGAACACGCAATGTTCGAGGACCAGGACTTTGCACTAGGAAAAACAAGGATCGAAATTATCACACTAAACTAAAAGTTCATATTTTTGTCTAAGACGATTTTGCTAGAAATAAATGTAATTTAATTCGATACCATGAGAAAAGAGATTTTGAAAGCTTTAATAAATGTCCTTTAAAAACACTAAATATTTTAATACATATCAAGCCACAGTAAAATATCATTTTATTAACCTAATAAAACAAAGCCATAAGAATAATTAATTACATTTCTAGAAAAGACTTGATATGGATAAAGGCAAAGAAAAATTCCAGATTTCCTGCTATAAAAACGAATCTTTTCTCTGGTTCCAAATATTTGTCAAAATATGTTAATATCAATTATCCACTTTAAACTATATTAATAGTTCCAGATTTTCCTTCGAGTGTAGGTCACATACCGGCTGACTCATAAGGCATTTTGGCTAATGATTGACTGACTGGATGAACGACGGATGGACGGACCGACTGACGAACTGACTGACTGAATGACTGACGGAGTGACTAACCAGCGTGTGTGACTTTTCCCAGTTGTGTGTGGGCTTTCGGCGACTTTGCGTGTAGTTTGTAATTTAAGTAATGTGGGTCGCAGCCTGAAAGCTGAGCCCTGCGTATCCTTGTTGTTGTTGCTAACGCGATTTACCTTTGCCTTTCGAGCGAAACACGCGCCACGGTTCCGTTACGTTACCGTTAGCTGTTGGCTGTTAGCTATAGCTTTACCGTTACCAGTGCTCTTAGCGTTAGCATATATAGAGACCTGCGGTTTTAGCAGCCTAATTGTCATTGAAGGCAACCCACCCAAGACATAAATTCAATTTCTTTCTGTTCGATGTGACAAGTCTCGAAGGAGGTCCCTCACCACCCAAAATACCGCCCCTTTCGCCCACTCGCCACCGCCACCCCCTAATGCATCACCGCATTCCCAGTGTTGTTGCTGTTGCTTTTGTTATTATTTTTTGATAGCCACCTTTTCGTGTGTTGCTTTCTCGCGATGTCGTCGCCGCCAAGAAAAGGGGGTTCCCCTTTGGTGCCCCTTTTCGGTTCTTTTGCGTTTTCTTGACTTGTTCTTTTGGCTCGACTGTCGCCGTCTCTGTCTCAGACTCTGCTTCCATCTCTGTCTCTCTATGCACTGGCTGCACCTTGACACTAATATTGAGCAAAGTAAAAAAAAGAAATAAAAACAAAAAAAAAACAAGAAACAGAAAGCAAGGAAAGCAAGTGCAACTAAAAATAGTCGGAGAGAGACCGCTAAAAGCGAATTGATTGGCAACTGTGTGTGTGGCTTTTGGGCTCTTTATGCGGACACTTGGCGATTTTATTGTCAAGTTATAATTGGTAATTGATGCCGATACCCAAACTGATTGTGTTATGATATAGCTCACTCAATGGGCTGATTGCTGGGGATTGAAGCGACTGTAAATGATTTTTGATTGATTTACCCACGCGGGGTGTAGCGAAAAGTTAGGGTTTTATGTAAACTTTGGCTGGCTTTAGAGCAGTTAAGTTATTGGTTTATTGGAAGCTATGCCTGTTTCACTAAATATTCCAAATTTTAACAGAGCTTAAAATCCAACTTCTAGACAATTAGTTAGGCCTTCCTTTGCCATTTTGTACTTTTTAAATATTCTAATAACTTTCAAGTTACTTTCATATTTTAATTCGTTAGTTTTTGACATTTAGAAATCTCATTTACTAAATCCCTCTTCCTCGATCTTCAGCCTTGTATTTTTAATAAATAGTTTTTTAAGCCAACTAAAACTTATTACAGCTTAGCACGCTAAAGAAAAATTAACTTTTTAAGTTTTCAGGATAATGCATATTTTAATGGTAATCCGTGGGTGCGTATACTTAATTTGCACTTATAAAACATTCCTCGTTTGAAATCCCATTTTATGCATCCTAATTTTCTCGGCTTTAATTTTTAATAACCACTTCTTTTTAAGCCACTCAATCTTGCAACGCTTATTGACGTTTCACACGCTCGCCGATGTTTTTCTTATGGTTGGTGCAGTTAAAACTGGACAATGTTGTTGTTGTTGTTGTGGTCGGTGGTGTTGTTGGTGTTGGTCATTATCCCGCACCCAACAAGAACACCCAAAAAGAACGCAACACCAGAGCTTTACATAACTCACTCGCTCACTCACTCACTGCAAAAAATGGAAACACTGCGGGGGAACGTTAAAAATTCAAAACACAAGTGCACACTTAATTTCGCACATTGCAATTTTCACGCGTTTTTCAATCATTTTTCCAACACACTCGGCTGGCCATCAGGCATTTTTGCTTTTATTCCGATTCCGATTTCTTACGAATATCATATATACGATATATTATATATATATCGAGGGCGGTGAAGTCGATATTACTACGCTGGCTTATATTGTTTGGCCCGTCTCCGCTGTGGTGACGAATTTTCTCCGCTTCCGCAGTGCTATTGAATTGCAAACCCGAACCGAACTGAGACCTCAACTGACCAAGTTTTCCTTTTCATGCAGTTTGGCACGCATTTTCGATTCGGAAAAGCGGAAAGGCAGGATGACGAAGCGCGGCGAACACCGAAAGGTCTCTGGTGCGCCGCTTGCTTTTCGATGTCGCCTCCTATTTTCCGTTCGGAGCCAAAGCTCTCGACCGGCTCTCTCCGAAGCTCCGCAGATTGGCCAGCTTTCCGAGTGCTCCAAAGCTCGACAGCTGATTGCCGCCAGTGCATGCGGCATTTGGCCCCTTTTTCCCGCTGTCCCCCGGCTGCCCCAAACATCCTTCGCCCGTAAAAACAGCTGATGGCCGAGGGTCAGCCTCCGTGTCGATAGACATGGCGGCAAGTGACGTAATCCTTTGCGGATGCACGACGCACTGTAGGATGTATCTGAGTCGAAGCACTCAAAAATTTTTGGGACGGATATCTGAGATATTTGAAATGCTAAGCCACGGGAATTTTTGGCTGATCTTTGGCCAATGTATTAATATTTAATTCAAATTGAAATTGCAGCAAAAAGTACAAAAAGTTTAATTTATGTACTTAGCTTGTAAACTAAATTACTTAGATAAAATAATTAAACTCAAAATAAGATATGTTGGTATTTTTATTTCTGTAGCTACAAAATTCGAAAGCACTTTTTAAACTAATAATGTCCTATTGTGCTATTCAAACTAAAAATGTCCCTTATAAAAAATTGTATTTATTTATTTATGTTAATAGTCCGATGAATTTATTTCAATTATTTTATATTCTGTAAATGTTGTTGTCGAAAAAAGGCTTTTTAACCCCATTTTAATTTGTTAATATTACGCATACGACCCGTCTAACAGATCGAAAAAACCTTTGATAATGAAGTTTAAACTTTATACTATAAAGCATAACAATGCAAAATTTAAAATATTTTCAAATTTCGCAACCCAATAAAACGTCTTTGTTATTATTTGAAATATTAATTTTATTTTTAAATTGCAATTACAATTTGTTGTTGTTTGCTTGTCTGTTCACTGTTTGTTTTTATGCTAAGTGGTATTTTATTTGTATTTATATATATTTCACACATTTTCTTGCAAACAATATCAATAATTCTTTTAACCTAATAACAGATGCCACTTTGTTGGTTTGTTTTTTTTTTGTTTTGTTGTTTCTCTTACACGTGTTGGTTCTAATATTTATCTTTTTATGGTTCGATCTCGGCCTGTCTCCGATTCACCCACCCCAGACGCGATTCCTCAAGCTTAAAATTAAATTACAAAATACAATCATTCAACTTATATCCGAAGATACAAAACAAAGCGCACAATGCAGTATTTAACTTAGCCGTAATCACTTGCAGAACTAATTACAATATTACAATAATATGTTGAAACGCAGGAGGAAAACAAAACAACAACGTAAAAAGCGTAGTACAATACACAACATTACCCTCTAAATGTATTTTAATAAGTATGCGAATCGTTTATTTTATAATGAGTAATAAACATTTCTCCATAGCACTGCATTTGCATCTGAAGTAAAGCGCTTGCTTCGGTGTATAATGCGTGTATATATAGTGATGTATATATATACTATAGATAGAAATATGTATACGTTGCATATAAAATTATCTCGGCGCAAATATTCGCTGCTCATGCACAGTGTGAAGCAGTTAAAATGAGTTAGTTGGGTTTGGTGGTGATTATGTTTTTGAGAAGAGCGTGAAAGTTTGGTTGATCATCTAGTATAGGCTTCAGTTAAGGTAAAAAGGTAGGCGTGGCATTATGCAGCATTGAGTATTAGGTTTTTTTTTGGATTGTGTAGTCCTTATAAAGCAATTATCGTTATACTTTTCCTCGTAGCCGCGATTGGTTTTTAGTATGCAGAGCTTTTTGGTTATGCTTAGGTTTAGTATTATTAGTTTTTAGTATCAAGTGAAAAATATGATTTTTACATTTCTTATGATACAATTTTGGTGATGAAATGTAACTTGTATTAAATGCGCTTGTATGTAAATATATATGGATGTACGAATGCAGGTGAGGCATATAGATGTATACTTCGTATATGTTGGGTATGCTGGGAGGACTTTGTTCTTGTATATGAAAGTAAATACAGAATATAATATGATCGAGGTGTATATGATATATGCATGTATAAATATATGAATGCCATCTCTTCATGTCGGTGAGCTTAATTTTGAATGTATGTTCAGCTTAAATGCGTTTTCTTCTTGAGTATTTTCAATATGATGAGCGATAAATAATTTGATGTATTGTAGTTAATGCTAGAAAGTAATTTCATTTCAATATTATTGCATGATTTTTGTTTGAGTTTGTTCTCGTGTATTTTTCCAAGTACTGATTCAATACTTTTAAATAGTTATGTTAAATATTTGTTATGTTTTACGCGACTTTACTTTGGTTTATCATTAAGCATTTATTAACTTGCCGTAATTTGTCGTTAAATATTTGTTCTAATCACGTTTTAGTATCTCTTCTTATTCCCCATCTGACTATTTTGATATTGCTGTCATACACAGTTTCAGTATAGATCTATATCCTTTTACATGTTACATACATTATTCAGTTTTGCCTTTACACTCTTATCCAGTAGATTTCACAAATTGCTGAGGTGCCTCTACATTGTTGTTAGCTTTAAGTGGATAAATGGACGGTTTTTTGTTTGGATTTCATTAGCTTTATGTCGATTTCTTAAGTCTTTTAGTTTCAAATTATCGTATGTGTTATAAAAAGAACTCTGATTGGCTTGGGTGTTAGAAAAGAATCTATAAACTATGAAAACCACTCAAAAGTAAGGTAGGTAAGGATTCAATGTGATTGTTTGTGGGGTTGCCTTGCTAAACGCTTCTTACACTCGGAGAAACACCATCGAAGGTCATCGATAGCGTTGCGATTTGTGCATTCTTGGACAGCTTGTTTGCTCTACTTGTTTTCCAATAAAAAAAATACAAACTCCCAATTGAATTTCTCTCCTAGGTTTTTTTGTCGCTGATGCAACCCAGCAATTTGTACAATCCCCGATCCGTTCTATACATAGATATATATTCGTCTCAATCGATTTATACAAGTATTGGTTAAGAAAGCTTTATTTCATGCCCATGCAAAATATATTGTTTCTGGTATTTAATGTCTTTACTTTAATGTGCTGTATATGCTTTAGTAGCCATGTGCTGTGCCGTTGTTAGTTATTCGGTATCTTTTGTACATTATACATGCCGGTTTTTCCTCTTTCCTATGCACTGTCAATATCAGCTGAATTTATCTACCACACAACACTCTTTTGATCGTCATATATGCATGTCTCAAGTTCGAAAGTTGACGCGTTTTATTTAGTAAATATTTTGTTATTTAGGAAAAATAGTTTGCGTTTTCCGTCCCGTTTCTTCGGTTCTTTATTTTTTTTTTGGCTAGCAAAATAGTTATATCGATTTGGTTTGTTAGAAAAACAGCAACGCTAAGTTAATGCAAAATTTCTTTAGTTTTTTCACTTTTTTTTATTTAAGTTAGTATTTAAAGATCAGTGCATTTGCGTAATATCCTTTATACACTCTATACAAATCATCAGCGAATTTTTTTGAGTAGCAATCATTTGCGTAGCTAAATACGAGGCCTAGTCTAGGTAAAGAAATCGACTAGAGTAACTGGTTCGACTTAGGCTAGAGCTAAATTGATTTTTTTTGTATATTTTTACACGGTGTTTTTACTTGCAAGCTTTTTAGGCGCGGCGGCAACAATGTCCCTCAAAAGAACATATTCAAAAAGTCACTCAAAAAATCAACAATAAATAGAAAACGAAATTCGATAAAAGCTAGAGCAGCTAGCAAAGTTCTGTTCATTCAATCGGCTTTCAAAAGTTCAGATTCGTTATATATGCTAATTCATAAAAATTCCACTATTATTGCTTTGGTATATTATTCGGATTTTTCGTGTGTTTACTTAGTTTGAAGATCTCTGGCTCTAGAAAAAATACTGTTTGAGTGGCTGATTCGTTCTCTAGTTGGAATACAATATTTGGTTGCGTTTGGTGTTGACTAGTGCCATATCGAAACAAATGTCCTTGAGAAAAATGTAACTAAATCAGAGAAATAATTCTCATGCGATTGCACTACCGGACATCGTTGTCGCCTGACGCTCACTCTGCAGCTCGCGGTTGCGTTCGTGCTCAGCGGTTTCCGAGCTGAAAAAGAGAGTCTAAAATTAGTTTTCTGTACGAAAGTAATAATAAGTAACAATTTATTTATAAAATGTAATAATAATTATAGATTGAATATATTTAATTTATAATTTTAAAATATTTATAATTTATTCATTTAATTGATTTATTATTATTTTAATGTTGCAATAACTAGAGTAAACAGTTTAAAAAAGAAAATAAAATTACAAAATATATAATTCATTCCCAAAAATGATCAAACTATCTAAACAATCGTGTTGCAATTACTATCAGGGATTTACTTCACTAATTTATTGAGTACATTAAATGCATCAGAGAAATATATAAACAGGATGTTAATGTTGTGTGTACATTATTCGGTATGCTGCTTACTTGGATCGCACTGCAATGGGGCTTCCGGGTATGTCAACTGGATTGGCATTGTTGTTGTTTGTGGTCGACGCCCGACGACCATTGCCCGACTTGTACGAGAATATGGAATCGTTCTCCATATCGTTTTCGATCTAAATATATATATGTTAGCTCCACTTCCTCAACACTGGATTTAAAGCGAACTCACCACCTGTCGCTTGTACGATAGTCTTTCACTGGACACCGATCCGCAGGAGGAGCTTTCCGAAACTGCCTGGGTTACACTGGTCACCGTCGGCGGACTACTGGGACCCGGGAACCGCTTGGAGCACACCTGGGACTGAATGTGCTCGCAAATACGTCGAAAACGCCGAATGTTACCTTCATTAAAAATGAGTTCAATTAAGTTGTTTACAGGGCTTGATGATGGTGTATTGTTTACCTGATAGCAACGTAAATGTTAGTGCAAACAACATATCTGCAATGTCACCTTGTTTGCAAATGGCACTGATGTCAACCTGAAAATATTCCCGGACCATTAGCGATCTGAAACCCTGCTGATGGCTTGACCAACTCACCTGGAACTTGACATGGCGCTGGAACATGACGGGTCCATTGCCATTCCGTTTGTACTCTACACGAAACGAGGTGGGCGAGACCACACTATGAGATAGTTCAGCCATCTGTAAAAAGTTAAAAGAAAAGTTGAATAAAGTATAATAGACTCTTGAATCAAAAGTATATCATAAAAGGATGTAAAATATTTTTATACCCGTTACTCGTAGAGTACTTTATGATTTAAAAACAAAAGCAAAATGAATTTCCTACTAAAATCTACCTTTTCTTTAGTAAAATATGACCTAATATGACCTAATCCTTGCTAGCGAGTAGTTTGAAATTAATCGGAAGCATTACATGAATAAATTAATATTCCCCAGATTTATTTAGTTTCTTGTATGATCTTTAGCTACTTACGGATAAAAATGCATGGATCAAATGCGCCTTGACCGTGGCAATGGGCTTGCCCTTGACCAAAATAGTGAACGTTTCATCCTTCTCGGTTGTTATGAGATTACCGAACCAAGAACGCTTTGTGAGCTCCGGCGAGGACTCGGGCGTCAAGTGCACCTCATCGGCCGAAACTGCAAGGATTTATTAAAATTAAACATTTTAAATTTTAATTAATTTACTAACGACCCACTTACCCTGCATTTTTCTGCGATGGAACCGCGGACTTCCCAAGAAACTGTTCTTGATGTTCGTAAGCCGCGTCTTCCATAACTGGCCACCAGGTGTGTTGCAAGGTGAGCCGGGCATTCCCGGACTGCTGTTGTTCATCATGGGAGAGCCATTGGGATTCACAACTGTAAGTAAAGGGGAAAATAGAGGTATATTCAGGAAGCGCATTGCACAAGAAAAATAATCTTAGTTTTCAAACCGACATGTCTTAAGGTTAACTTCTATTTTCCTTTTGATCAAGCTGATCAAATTGTTTACTTTTTTGACTAAGATGATACAAATTATTCTTGTCAGCTAGGCGACAAGAATATTAAGTACAATTACATTTCTATTGAAAATACTAAATTACCCTTATCAAATCGGTTTTTAAACTTGAAACAAGAGCAGATTGATCTTGCTTTAACTTGATTATTTTTTTGTGTTGGACAACTATAATTAAGGGATCTACGGGGCATGCACACACCACTATTCGAATCTGGATCGTGGAACATACTAATGGCAATGGTCGGACCTGAGTTGGCACGGTGGTGCACCGACGGTGAGGCGGAAGTGGATCCGCTTGAATTGCCGCCCGGACTGCCCGGCGGAATGCCGCAATCCCCTCGCTCCCTCGGCGATCCTCCTCCGCGCTCCTGACGCAGTGAGTCCCTTCGTTCGATCCTGGGCTCCCGCACCACCACCACATCGCCCTCGATGCTCTTCTGCGAACTGTGCGAGGGTGTCCGGCTCACCGAGGAGTGGTGTCCGGAACGATCACGGTCCCCGTATGTCGAATGCCTGGTTCCCGCCGCTGGGGAAGATGGTCGAGAAATGGCATTCGCCTGCTGCTGGGCCGAACTCATCGGGGAGTTGCAACGCGTGGGACTGTGATATGAGGAGCTCCGCACCGACGAGGAAACGGTTGTGGGCGAGCGCCGTTGATGGTTCCGTGTGCTGCTGTACGAGCGGAAGCTAAAAGGAGGACAATACAGCAATTAATGGAATTCATAAAAAATTATTGAAATTTATTTTTGGTGGTTTTAATTACCGAGAAATAAATCTTTAATTTCTGATTTTTACAAAAAAAAAGATTTGTATATTGAGAATTAAAACTAAAATCACCAGTTTATTTTCTATGAGATTTAGAAAAACTATTTAGAATATTCAACACTCACTTAAAGGCTTGTCGTCTTGGCGTCAGCGGTGAACCCTCCGAAATCTGTCCATAGCTGGGAGCATTGGTACCATTAATGCGACACGTGTCCAGGCGTTTACGCGGCGGATCCACTGCATCGAGTTCACTGCGGGACTTCTGGGCGATCTCGTCGTCATCCTCCAGCGCGGGTCGTCTTCGCTTGCGCTCCAGCAACAGGAAGTATATGACCTTCTCCGTATTGTGACTAAGTGATGGGGGATCAAAAGTTAGATATGCTATTTAAAATATTAAAGGTATTCAAACGTACCTTGAACTGAGCAGCTCCTGGATAAGCTTCTCTTTCTCCTTGAAACAGCCCAGCGAGCAAATGGCGTTCAACACATCCGGATCCACCGCAGTGGCTGTGGGAATAACATGTGTCTGCACCACCTCCATCATCGGCAGCTCCAGCTCCAGCTCCCCCTTGCCGCCAGCTGTGACCCACGGATGGCGGTTGATTTCAGCCAGCTGGACGCGGTCGGAAATGAAGCAAAAACGAGTTAAAGGGAGGAAGTCCAAGGGAGGGTGGGTAAATAGCTGGCAACGTGGTGACCCAAAAACCAACAAACGCTTGGGGGTGGCTCACAAATGACTCACCACCCACACTCAAAAAAAGTAATAGGCCTTTGTACTGGGAAGTTCTTATTCAATCTTTTATATTTCCAACTCAAAATGTATATCTTTAATTTACGAAATATCATTTAAATTGGTTTCTAATAAACATTTTTTAAATCATAAGGGGAATGCCAAAATACAAGAATTTACGTATTTTCACTTTGTTAAAAAACTCTTTATGAATGTAAAACCTTTTTAAAGTAGGTTTAAGAAATTCCAGCTCTTTTTAAAAAATGTAAAATTTAATATAAGAAACCGAAAAACTATACATCTATTTAATTTATTTTTAAGTGCACTCATAAAAGTAGATAATTTTGGGAGTTGGCATTGTTGGATCGCCGCTGCATTTCTGGGTCTGGATGACTCACCGTGAGACGCCGGTCCGGATTCACCTCAATCATGCCGCGCAGCAGACTCTGGCAGTCCGGCGGCACGAAGTGCGGTATGTGAAAGACGCCGCGCTTGACTTTCTCCAACAGCTGGCGCAAGTTGTCGTCGTCGAAGGGCAACGCACCCACCAGCAGGGCGTACAGGATGACCCCACAGGACCAGACATCCGCTTTGCGGCCATCGTACTTCTCACCCTGGAAAAGTGGGGAGAAAATAGAGGGAAAATCAGAAATTGAGACATTTTCAGGACGGACGTTTGTCCGTTTGCTTGGATATTCGTCTTATGTTTGCTTTCAGCTTGATTATTTTCGAAATTCGATTGGCCATTGTGCGTGGCCCCAAATCGTTAGGACCCTTCACCCTTTTTTTATCGAGCCACACTCGTGTGGGAATGCCATAAGCCTGATCTGAATGCTTACTAATTTAAAAAGTTTTCTATTTAAAGACTGATTGTAAAGGGGGATAGGTCCGTTCAACTCGTTGACGTCCATTGACGTGTCCATCAAATGCCAAGTTTCTCATTCCCCCACTCCGACGATTCGGTTTTCCTAGGGGACGGTTATTGACTTGGCAGGTAAATGGCACAATGACTCGCAGTTTGTTGCCCACTACAATGTGTAATTGTAGTACGACTGTAAATTACGGGTCATGTGGCCGACTGGTAAATCTTTAAACACGAAGGTGGGATATATTTAATGTTTCCATAACTTTTTGCTTTTGATTGTGTGCATCCTAATCCATTTATAGTTGTTTTGCAGGTATTTCTTTGTTTTGGAATAAATATGTTGATAAAAATCAAACTATTTATTATGTTCTAAGAAATTTCAAATTGGGTTTCAGGTTTGATACATTATAATAAATAATTTAGGAAATTAGTCATTAAAGAATAGTTCATTTAAGAATTTTTTATATGAACGGAACTGCAATGTATAATGTGTTACCCTTCTATGATAACCACATGTACTTCATGTCAAAAGCCAAAACCGACCCATTACTTATAAGCATTTTCCAATTATAGCTACTCTGAAAACTCCAATTTGTAAGATTATATGTCTGGTGTACGCTCGATTACCCTGGCCAACTTTTGTTTGTCGGTAACCCTAAACCGGATTGGGCTCTGGCTGTGGCTTGAGCCCCTACCACCTTCCAAAGATTGATAAACGACCACTTATGTGATTGAGTACATGGGCTTTCCACGCAATTTTCCCCTACAAATTGTCAAGGTTTTCCCTTGCAGGGCAGATTTGGTTAGCAGACATCAATTAGGAGTTGGGGAGAGCTACCAGTACCCACTGAGCTTTGACTGTTGAATATTTATAAAAGAATATATACGTGCAGATAAGCTAAACATCACGTAGCAAGCCAGATTTATAACCCAGCAGGAGTATATGATAAGACTGAACGAGGAAATATTTTAAAATTCCCCTTATGAATTTATTACGGGTGCAGCAGCCATGAAGCATCGCCAGAAGCTGCAGCGAATCCAGCTTGAAGGATATGGTGCAGAATACACTAAGAAAATTGTAAACATTTTCTGGTTAAAGAAATGTAATAATGTCTCCTTATTAAATGTGAAACAGTTAAGGGTGAGGTATTTCTCTTTAATATTTGAACATTTCTTGTTGAAAATGCTTGAAAAATTCTTTGTTGGCTTCGTATAAGAATTACAAGAATATGACATTTAAATCGCAATAAATTGTTTCTCTGAAAGTCACGAAGATCCCCTTACCCTTGGCAGAAAATCGAACACTTTAAGGGGATTCGCAACTTTTTGTTGGGTGTAGAGAGCGCCGGGCTTCCCGAGATGGGAAATCATATGCGCACATGACGTGCATTTGCATAGAAGGGAGCCCGACGAGCCTGACGAAATTTGCATAGGAAAGCGACTCCAGGAAGCCGCCTCCTCCAATGCCAGCGATGCTGCATCTGAAAATGTGCTAAAAAGTTCGCCTTGATTGACGTTTATGCGTTTGCCGCACTTGTGCTTAGAGTTGGGGGAACAAACGGGACGGAGCTGCCCGGCAAGCAATCTTTTGGCCATTTTTCACCCGAGTCTTACCCGTATGACCTCCGGACACGCGTAGTGTGGGCTGCCGCACGAGGTCTCCAACATGCTACCAGCTGGCTGCAGAGATGCCATCCCGAAGTCCGCTATCTTAATGTTATTCTTTTCGTCCAGCAGCAGGTTCTCCGGCTTCAAGTCTCGATGGCTGCAAAGCGAAATAAATCCAATATTGATTGTCGTTCGGAAGGGGAAGGGAGTTCTCAACGCGGAAAGGAGTCCAAGGACTTACCAAATCGAATGCGAGTGACAGAAATCCAGGGCGGAGATGATTTGCCTGAAGAACTTGCGCGCCTCCTTGGGCGTCAGACGACCCTTCTTCACCAGGTAGTCGAAGAGCTCACCGCCGGATACATGCTCCAATATCAAATACAAATACTTCTTGTTCTCGTACACATCGCTCAGGCCAAGGACGTGCGGATGATCGATTAGTTTCATTATGGCGATTTCCCGTTCAACCTTCGCAAAGAGAGAGACAAGCGATTTTAATCGACTTATCGACAATGTTGCCAAGTTCCCCTAAATCCCCATACCAGCACTGGGAGAAAAAGGTATTCAATTTAATCATAAATATTTATAAGGAAAACAGAGGGATGGTCTATTGATTTTACTGAATATGGATTACTGCTTGGATCAACAAATATTTCTCAACTAATACAATAATCCTAATTTTATAGTTCCAGGAAAGCATTTTCTAATTTTTTTGAAGAGTGCACTTCTCCTTACAATGCACTCAAAGTGCTTGGTGCTTGGCCGGCCATAATAGCCCATTGTTGTCCTCCGAATGGCGTCCAATTTCTCATTGCGTGTCCCGACCAGCTGGCCCTACAACATGGACACCACACGCAATCATCGGCGGTCCTTTATCCTCATTTGCACCCCTCGACCTCACCTTGCATTTCGATTGTCCTACATGTCTGAGCTTTTGTCACCCCCAAAAACTCCACCCCAACCTGAGGGCAGTCAATTTTGTTTTACTTTGTTGTCGCACGCACTAATTTGTCCCATGTCCTTTCGATGTCCTACAAAAAGTGCACCACATTTTCGGTAGACATAGAAGAAGAGAAGTATGGAGAGGAGAAAACGAGGTGGGGTAACCTTTTCTATGGTTTTATTATGACAGCAAAGAAAAGATAAATAGTTGAGCTTTACTGTGACTTTTATTGAAACCGAATGAATGGTGCCGGGTCTGCGAATGAATGAAATCTATTTAGAGTGTTTGCCACGTATTATAATAGACGTGGTGTGTTCTGGATTATGGCAGAAAATCGATTCAAGAATAAATGAATATTTACCACAGATAATTTGTGGTCTATTTGTAAGATAATTATGCTTTGAATTCGTAAAGGTCATATAAGCCACGAATATATTTCGAAGTATGTACAACCCTAGTCAAAAGTATTTTCACAAATTTGAATGTTAACTGTACTCATATTTTGAACTTATAATATAAACATTTTGGCACCTATGGAAAGAGCACTTCAATTCCGTTTAAATGACACAAAAATGTTCTTAACCCATTAAGCACCCTTTGAAAAGTGGGCAAATTAGACAATTTTTTTTTTAAATCAAATTTTCAACTTTTTTTCTGGGGCTTTAAACAAAAATGTTTTGATGCAAAGTTGTTCCCCAATCAAAATTAATAATAACTGCAAAAAAAAAATTTCAAAATATTTTTCCTTGTATTTTTTATGATTTTTTGAAAATAGCTATTTTTGCCGCTTTTTCTTCCTTTTCATACAAAATTTTACTGAGAGGTCTCCATTCAAAAAATCATAAAAAAATACAAGGAAAAATATTTTGAAATTTTTTTTGACCACCCCTGTATATAGACCAATATTTTATTTTCCTCAAAAAACAACCAAAAAAGAATACATATTTAAAGACTTGGTCACATAATTAAAGGTCACACACAAAATCTCTGTAATTTTTAAAGTCTAATTTAAGGAACGAAATATACTTTTGACTTTCTCTGACTTTGGCACACTAAAGATCCTGAGAAAACCGCAAGCCTGGGAAATCCCCAAAAGCCTTTCCCCAACATGTAATGTAAGTCCAAAAGTCCAAATGGCTGTAAGTTTGACTGCAATGCTCCACCCTTGGATCCACCCCTGCGACAGCCCCTAAACCACGATACACTTTCAAGGAACCGGGCAATAAAACAACGAACCACAAAACAAATTTTATTGTCACAGTTTTTTATGACTTGTACGCCAGGAGAAGACAAACAAGAATCGAGAAAGAAATAGGAAAAGAAAGCGAAAAACAAAATCATAAACAGCGGGAAAACCATAAACCAAAGGCAGGAAAACTTTCCATCAAGTCACGACCTTCGACCCCGGGTAACTACTTACCTTCATTAGCACCGATTCGCTGAGTTTCTCGCGATTGATTATTTTAATCGCAACCTTCTTGCCAATCACACAATGCACGCCCAACTTGACGAGACCTGCAAATGGATGAATGGGAAATCGTAATTGAAATAACTTTTGTAAGTATTGCAGATATTTCTGAGTGGCCTTTCTGCTACGACAAGAAAAGAAAAACTTAGAAAACAATTAAGAAGGAAAATTTCTATAACTTTTTAAGTGAGTACAAATGACAAAAGAGAAAATGGATATCAATCAAATTTCTGTTTAAATAATTGTTTAAGAATAATAGTTACTAGGTTATAGCTTACAAATATTCTTTATCTGATTTGATCTGATACACTTCTAAAATTAAAAGTCCATAAGTATATTTAAACAATATAGATAGAATATAAATAATTTATCTAATAATTTATATTGTGTTATTTTAATGATTAAATTTATTATGCATGTTTAAAGATAGTTGCAAACTAATTGACAAATTTAAACCTCAACTTTTTTAATTTTTAGTAGTATATTTTAATTATTTCTTTGATTTAAAATTCTTTATTCAACCCGATGTGACTAACGCGTTAGGATATAAATAAATAAATGAAATGAAAAACATTCAAGGGTTCCTAGGACTTTTAAATTTAGATATAACAATTATATTTTGTTTTAATGGTAAAATTTTCGGTTATTTAATTTACATTTAGGAATAACTTTTTATGGGTATTATTATTATTATTATTATATTATTATAAAGTGTTCGACTATAATGTAAAATTTACAGACGAACTTAAACTTAGCTATAGCTACGGGGCCTTAAGCTAAAAAATTCAATATTTCATTCTTCATTATTTTAAACAGGGTTGTCTACAAATTTACAAGCTAAGTTACATTTTTATGGGTATATAAATTTTAAATATATGTGAATTTAAGAGGATTTGTAGCACTGGGGATGTGGCTGGCGAAGAATTTCTCGATTTTTTTGTTCGCCTCTCACAAAAAATAATAAGAATGAATTGAAATTTTCTTTAATCTATTTATTATTCATATTTGCTGGATTCCAATTTTTTTATAAAAAAAGGCACATAAATATTGCATTTAATTTAAAATAGAAAATTTCTTCAAAAAGCTAAAATCTCAACAGACAGCGGTAGGTATAATTACAGTAAGAAAAACCACTCCACCTCGATCCAATGAATGTAATGATAGTTTTAGTCGATGCAGCTACCACTTAGTAGCACGTAAATGGTAAGAGTTCTCTGGCACTTACCCGTTTGACCCTTGCCGAGGGTTTTCTCCAGGCGATAGGGCCCCACAAATTGGCAATTCTCCGCCGTGACATTGTTCTCCTTCTGCATTTTGTTGGCCGTCGCTTCGTCTTCGTCCTGCGTCCTTGGTCCCCGCGGGGCTCCTTGGTGTTAGCTGTTAGCTGTTTGCGGCTGGCAGCGTCAGCTGGCTTCTGGCCATGTACTCCTGGACTCCTGGCCCCGCCTCCTTGCCTCCTTGCCACTCCTACCAACTTGGGTGTCGCATAGCGTCAAGTGAGGTATGGGTGTGGGGTCCTTTAATTACTTTTGTTCGACAAAAGTTTTATTGCGATTGTTAAGAATTCCTTTTTGCAGTTTGCAAATGATGCAGCATTTAATTAACTTTTGCCTATAATTGTACTGGTCCTGTTGCTCTTGTTGCTGTTGTGGCTGCTATTTCCACATGACTTCATCACAAAATACTAGCTGCAATAAAAGAGAGAGACGGAAAGAGTGGTGAGTGAGAGAGACAGAGAGAAGGGGAAAGGTCAATGTGATTACCAATGAATATTTATGTTCCCTTTGGCCAAACTGAATTTTTAATTGAAATAAATGGAAACTAACTATATTACCGGATAACTATTTGGTGTGTGTGTGTTAGTCAGTCAGGTGTTCTAATTAAAACCCCTCCAGCTGTGCCTGTGTGTTTGCTTCTCCTCTTAGCCATTTCAGGAGTAAATTTATGACCCAGCCAGCTTCCTACGAACAGGAAAGCCATGGAAACACACACATAAACAGGTGAGAAGAACATATACTTTAGTGTGTGCTGCTTCATTTAAATTTGTAATAATCTTGGCTCTTTGAAGTGTTTCGTTTTCAATTATTCGTCCATTTAGTTTAATTAAAGGTACATTCTGTTCGTAGTGGATTCCCGTGTAGTGAACGGATTATTATTTTGCCAATTATGGGAGAATGATAGCAAAAGGAATTCTTTATTAATAAATCCTCTTTATCTGTACTGTATACCACAAGAAATATTTGATTTTAAATCTGTTTAGCGGATCAAAAATAAATTTATGCAATTCGATTGTCAATACCTATTGAGAAAATAAACTAATTTTAATCTATATCAAACGATTACAGTTATACAACAAGTCACACCGATATTAAATTTAAAATCAATTTATCTCTTTACATTTTTTCTTAAATTTTATTTAATTTGTTAATTTATTTTATTTCTTAAATTATGTTATTCTACTTTATAATTAATAACAAACTTTTTAGTATTTAGTAATTAAACTTTACAAAAAAAACCATTTAGTATTAACCTATTAAACGCAACTTTGTAACCAAGACCTGCAGACACAAAGATATAAATAATTCCTGGGAATTTTCCTCGAAGCTTGTTCAAAAATTTACGCTTTTCAATCTGCTGCTGGCCGTGAAGTGAGACGAAATCGTTTAAAAATTTCATTAGGAGAGCACTAAAAAACACCCATAGAAGCAACAACAATTGCTCAACGGGGCGTGTTGGCATAAAAAGCGAGCATAAAACTTGGCCAACTACGAATGGCTAAGAGATGGGCAGGAACAAAGAGCAGCCAAGGATAGAAAAGCCAGGGAATCAGTTTGAATTACTGGACAAGAGGGGCAGGTAAGCATTATATTTAGATGCTGACGCAGTCTCTGATAATTCTCCGAGATGACGTTGAAGTGCCAAGTCCGTAGGACGGGTTTGAATGAGACGCCCAACTGACAGGACGATGGATGCTCACGCGCTCAAATTGAAAAATAAGTGCACATCAAAATGAAACAGTGCGCAAATGTGGGTACACTGAGAACAAGTTATTTACAGCTTTATACCAGATACACTAACCTTTTGATATTAACTCAAGATCACCGACAATAATTTTATTAATTTAACTTAATGTTGTTTATAATATTTTTAAGAAAACATATTTTTGAAATTACGACACATTTTACTAAATATTTATTTCATTTAAATATTCAACAATATTTGTATTAAACAATGTTAATATTTTTTAATCATTTACATTATATTATTATTAAAAAGCTCATTGTACCATCGTACCAAATTTAACCAACGAAATTTAACTTAAAAATTATATTTTTCCGTGTGGGGCTATGAGAGAATGGGAGTGAATGGAAGTGAAGGGTGTGGTTCTGGTTTGGCCCGAAACATTAAGGTTAAACGGGCAGCAGATGGCGGGTTCTCGCAGGAAGCGCAGGAAGGAAGGATGCTAACAAGCCTACCGCCAAGCACTTTCCCTTCCGCCCGAAACAATAAGAAAACTTTCACTGGGGCCAACACCATTACACCCCTATACTCTTACACACGCACACCCCGACATCCTAACATCCTTTCACCCAGCCCCCCGCCACTGTTCTGCTAACCTAATTTGAAAAATGCGCTAAAAGTTGAAAACTGACATTGTTTGGCAAGTGCCAACACAAAAAAAAGCGGCAAGATAAGGCCAATTGAAGCCACGAATGGTAGATACTCCGCATAACTTAAACTTTCAATTTGCGTGAACTTTTGCGATTTTATCTTCATGGAGGAAATTCCATTCCAGGTGATATCGGTTTCTTCCTTTGCCGATTAAATTAATTAAAATTAATTGTATTATCAATTATGTTTAAAAAAAATTTATTATATTTAATTTTAAAATATGTAAATATTTCGGGTCCTAAAGTCTTAATAGGTTTCCCTATGCAAATGATATTGATTATAATGTGAAATTTGTACGTTTCCCAAAAAGTATGCTACAATCTTTTTATAATACAGCTTGTTTTAAAATATTTCTCTGAAAAATTATGCTAATATATGTAGACCATCTCATCAAAAGAAACTTAATGAAATAAACCAAGTGCTCCCCATATAGGCACACGAAGTGTAAAAGGGGCGTGGCCGGCAACTGCCATAAACAAGTCATCGTCATGGGTCGCCTTTTTTGTAGCTTTCGCACTTAAGGCTGCGGCAAAATGTCTACACAGGGTTTATATATAAACATACAAAATATATACTTCTTTGGATCTGAATAAGTTTGCGTCCGTATGCGTGCAATAAAAATCATAAGCAAAACGTTTAGAGCATTTGGCGTTGATTTTGGCCTAGCCACGGGAAATTTATGCTTTTAGGTCGTGGCAACTAGGAGAATGTCACAAGGCGAAAGGAAAGCGGAAGAGGAATAGGAAGGACCCGGGGATTGAGGCAGGAAGATGAAAATGGAGACGACCTCCATTGATGTAGGCTCAAAAGGACCTGGGGATGTGACCGCCTTTTATGGTTCCATGCCCCAATAAAAAGCCATCAACCATAATTAAGCGATTTGCAAACAATGCACAACCATATAAAGGCAATGAATAGTGCTGAGCCAGATCGAAGCTGGAGATGGCTTGATTTCGCATAAATTTCTTTATAGGAAAGATGAGGAAAATGAGTAAATGTATGTGACAATCCTTAGAAGTTCGATTAATTAGTTAAATGTTACAAGGACAAGTTTTCTGTTTAATATATGGAAACATATATGACCTTTATGTTCTTATTAGAAGGATAAGTAGTTTTATATATTATTAAAAATGTTCTTTGTATTTTATATTTAAAACTTGAGAAACTCATAAATTTGTTTTTCAATAAATAAATAAATATGATTGATCATAATTTTTATTAGTATATAAATTATCCGCAAATAGTTTAAAATTGTATGATTTTATACTAAAATGTAATGTTATTATTAGGTGATTATTCAAGATAAAAAACCAATTCAAATATTTCTTAATTACGAACCTTAGTTCGTTCCAGAGTTTTTGGAATTAAAAATCTACTATCATCAGGGCTATCCACTTACATATGAATTTACAATCAAAGTTGTTCCTGCCACCAATTAAACTTAGCCACTCATAATTCATAGGGCCGAGATCCAACCCCCATTTACCAATTAAGAATCCCCCAACTCCCGACTTTTCTAGTTTTCCTCGAATTTACATCTTATTAATGTTCACTCAACGGTTTCAAAAACAATTAACAAGCCGAGTCTCAAACGCAGCTGTCAGATGCTGCCCGAGCTCCATGTTCATTAGCCTTCTCGCACAATTAACCCCGAGGGGCCAGGAACGCCGAAAAATAAGGAATTTTCCATAGGCAAGTGTGTTATCTAACCAGCAGCAAGCTGAAAAAAATGAGCAGAAATGACTTTGATTTCTCAGGCGAGCCCCATCCACATTTGCATACATCTGGCTGAGACCTCGAGGGCAAAATTGCCTTTGCAGCAGCGCCAGGACCCAAGACCCCAAAGTTTAACCAAGTTTCTTTTTTTTTTGGGAGGGTGGGAAGGTGGGGCCATCTAAAAGCCAGAAAAACTCAATTTCAAAAACGACAGTCAATAAACGCACCCAGCTCACACGCACATTTCTCAAAAGGGGGCTGAAAATTCACTGGAGCAGTATGCCAGCCAACGTGGCGTATGAGTGTTTTGGTTTTCCCTCAACCCGGCGTTTTTAAAGTGCAATCAATAAAATGCTTTTGAGTTGTGAAAATTGTGCGTAAGTGGCTTTTCATCAGGCCCCCGACAAGAGTTGGCGAGGGAGCGAGTTGAGGAAATTCAGAAACAGCAACAGAAACCGAAGGGGGAACAGCAAAAGGGCGTTGCTGCCAACAGAATGACGAGAACTTTGGCACAGTGGCAAAGGGGGGAAGCTTTCCCAACATTTCAAATAATCTCATCAAATATTTGCAAATTTTTATGAATTTTTAAGGGAATTTTATTTTCTGTCCTAATTCTTAAAAGCTTTTAATAAAGTACTAATAACAAGCATACGCTTTCTACATTCCCATTTCTAAAGATTTATATATAGCCCTTTATAGCCTTTAAAATACGGCATGCTTCATGTAGCATTTAAAAGCCTAATATTAAAATATATTTATATATTTGATATTTATCAAAACAAATACACATCATATGTAGTTCATTAGTTTTATAATGGATTTTAAATGACTTTGCTTTCAACTTTTGTTAATACTTTTATAGTCTTCTTTATATAAGTTTAACCACTGTGCCACTTTAAGCCATCGTAGTGTTGGCTGCTCAACTCGACTTCTCGTTGAATGCCTGTTATTGCATCCGTTCCTGTTTTTGATGTTGCCCCGACACCATGTTTAATCAGAATCAGACGGTTCCAGAGGCGATGGCAGCGACAGGAAATGGGGAAACAGGACTGCAACAGCTGGCTCCACATTCATCAACTAATTGCAATTATGTGGAAAATTAAAATCAATATTTAACTAACCTCCGCCCCTCGGATGCTCCCCTTGACTGCTGTTGTCATTTGCCATTTAACATTGATTTCAATTTCATGTCAGCTTGCTGCTGCTATGTCAGCGGCAAAAGATTTTTGTTTACCGATTGCTACTGTATTGAATTCTTGAAATATTTGAAATCCTTGTTAACGTTCATTGAAATATGCAT